TTTTTAGAAAAGATTGCAAAGATTATTGTTCATTTGATTCTGAGCCTTTAATTGTGATTTATAAGGGATTTATAAAGCATGAATAGTCCTCACTTTAGATTAGCTCACAAAACTGCATGAAGTTGAGTAAATAAAGCATTTATTAACTAGGGGTGTCACGATTTCGATTTTTAATCGAAATCGATCGAAATTTATGCTGAATTTCGATTATCGAATCAATAAATAGAATCGTTGATGCTGCCACGCCCCCATGTCACGTCAGCTTGGCTTGCCAAGTGGGAAAAAAACAGGCTTGTTGAAGTGCTTGTTAAACTGCAGAAGCAGGAGACCCGTCGAGAGATCTTAAACCCTCTCCTCTTTCAATGAAGTCGCCGGTGTGTAAGCATTTTGGATTTCCAGTGAGTTATGTTGACAACGTTTGTGTTGTCGACAAAAAAAAACAAAGTTTTGCAAGCTTTGCTAGGTATGCTTATTACGTACGGTTCGTCCGATAGACAACACCGGCATCGCGATCCTCCGGCCGCCCCCGTTGCAAATCCGCTCGCGAAAAGTTCACACTCAGGCCCTGTTTAGACTGTCTTTGTTTTTAAATGGCATTTTAGAACGACAACGATTTGACATCCACAGTGGCGTGTAGCATTTCTGAGCAGCCCTTCTTCCTCTCTACCTCTGAAAATGCACATCACGTGACCACACAGACGCACACACAGCCATGCGCTCGAGAGAGCAGGTCCAGGCAGTCAGAGGACTGCTTCAATCTTTCACTCACTTGTACTTAGTCATTTTAGCGAACACCTCAGATACTGTTGGCTGGTTCCTGTTGGTTGTGCCTCTTTTTTAACGACGCCATTATAACGACACAGATCACTGCCTATTCACGAGTCCCGCAGAAAAAGTGATTGACAGGTGGTAATTATGTGTGTATCTTGCCTTTATTCATATACTGTATGATTTGTTTATGGGTAAAACAAAGACCATGCAGGTCAGGTAGTTTAAACGGTAGGCTACAAATAATTAATTGGTCATTAATTAATTAATTATTCATAATCGAAAATCGAATCGAATCGTGCCTTCAGAATCGAAAATGTAATCGAATCGAGGATTTGGAGGATCGTGACACCCTTATTATTAACATATTAGTTAAACTATTAGTATATGCCTGAATAATAAGACATATAAATGTTGATTTCATTCTGAATGATCCTAAAAAAAACCTCAACTACTCTTAAATCCAAATGGTTTGTAAGTAATGAAAAATAAATCATTAACAACCAGGGCCGGAGTGGGACTCCTTTTCAGCCCTGGAGTTTCAAGCCTTGGACCGGCCCATCTCAGTTCACGACTGACTATATTAAAATAAGGCTTAATCTTTTTCTCTCCTTTTTAGATTTCTGATCAAGTTATGTCAGATTTATTAATGTAGTGAATCATCTGATTTTCATTGAGAAGGTGTAGTATTCATTAATATTAATTATTTGAATTCTTATATTCACTAAGGTGTCACTGTTTGGGGTAACCCGCAGGCTGCAGTGCATTTTGCTCACAGGGCTGCGAGAATATAAATAAAAAGAGCAGAGCTGCGGCAAAATAATGAATAAAAAGAGTGGGGCTATGGTCAAATAAATAAATGAATGAATAAAAGTGCAGCTGCTGAGAGTGCAAGCAGCTAGAAACACCTGCCCTCGCGGCCAAAAAACGGACTGGTCCACCGGGAATTCTCTCGGTCCTCTCGATTAGCCAATCCGGGTCTGTTGACAACGTATGAAAATACAATTATTAAGCACATTATAGGTGCTTATAAGTCACGAGTACAGCATAGGTAGCTGCAGTTATAAACTGCTTACTAACGTTTATTAATGTAAAGTTAATGCTTAAATTATGAATTCACTAGATGCTAATGCTTAATAAATGATTTATAGAGTGTAGTTATTATAAAGTGTTACCAAAATATCAAATGGCTTTTAGAGGTTTTTGGATCTACTCTTCATATGTAGTATTAAAGTTTTCACCTCACCTAAAATTTACCTATGATATTGATATTGGTATAGTATCATACCGAATCCAAAATCACGATTTTGAGCAATCCCTAGACATGCTGCATTTAAAACAGGATATTTTTCTTTTAAAAAACACATGGATTCACAACAGGAGACTGCCGAAACCACGTGAAGCATATTATTATGGATTGATGTGCTTTATTGAACTTTTCTTCTAAAAAAATAAAATAAAATCAGCCAATTGTTGTCATTACAGAGCTAGAAAAGCCCAAGATCTTTTTAAAAACACCTCCAATTGGATTCACCTAAAAATAGAAAGTAATACACACCTATAGGATGCCTTGAGGGTGAGTAAACCATTTGATAATTCTAATATTTGAGATGAGCTAATCCTTTAACTTAAGAGGAATTGACCTCAAGAGTACAGTGGGAGTGTTTTGAGCTCCAGTATAGAATATCCTGCTGAAACCAAAGCCGCTGGTTCACATTCATTCAGCAGAGCAAACTTTTATATAAGAGACCGCTGGGTGTACATTTACACTGCCACTGACCTTTTACTTCTGTGTATATATTCAGGTCAAGACATATTTACAATGCATGTTATATCACTTACCCAAAACTGTACCTGTATAAATTACTTCAGCAGAACAACAGAAGATTTCTAAATCATACTGGACCCGGGGCTGAATTATTTCCTTGTACGAGTACGTGGGAGTGTTTTTACTAGCAGTTTAGACTAGAGCCATATTAAGCAATTTAAGTAAAATCTCAAAAGTGGTATAAATGGAGCATGATAAAATAAAGCAAAAAGGTTTAAATCAGCTACCAACTAAGATTTACACAAACACTAAGGGCTCTATTTTAACGATCTAGGAGCAAAGTCTAAAACTTATGGCGCAAAAGCATTAAGGGCCTGTCTGAATCCACTTTTGCTATTGTAACGACAGAAAATTATGCTCTGCGTCCCAGTGCATGGTCTAACGCGGGGGCGTTGCTAGACATAAAGGTCTACTGGGGCACAGCACCCCCTCCAAAAAATAAATAAATAAATAAATAAATAAATCTATATATACAGTTGAAGTCAGAGTTATTAGCCCCTCTTTGAATTTTCTTTTTATATAAATATATATACATATATACATATACATATATATATATATATATATATATATATATATATATATATATATATATAT